ACTACTACTACGACTACTGCTACTACTTCTACGACTGCCTACTACTACTACTACTACTACTACTACTACTACGACGACGACGACTAGTAGTAGTACTACTACTACTACCACCACTACCACCACAACCACTATTACTACGACTACTGGCACCACTACTGCTACGACTACTACTTCTATGATTAGTCCTACAACTACAGCTACTCCTACTATTACTCCTTCTACTCCTCCTCCTCCTCCTCCTCATCCTCCTCCGCCTCCTTCTCCTCCTCATCTTCCTCCTCCTCCTCGTCCTTCTCCTCCTCATCCTCCTCCTCCTTCTTCTCCTCCCTCTCCTCCTCGTCCTCCCCGTGTAGAGCCCGCTGGTCCTCGAGCTCGTTAGCGCGCTGCGCCGTGACGTTCAGTTCCTGCGAGAAGGGCGCGCGCGGTGGGGGGGGCGCTGACCAGCTCGTCCTTTCCCCTCTCGGGCGCCAGCAGCGGCATGGTACAGAACGCATGCGAAGCAACCAAGCACAGCGCAGGGACAGAGAGATGGCTTGATAGCGAGGCGCGGCAGGGCGACGGTCCTCCTCCTCCATCCCTTTTCCTTATCAAGAACTTTTCTCTCTCGCGCACCCCGAGGCCGGTTTTGAGGGCGGGCCCGGGCGTTTCGCCTGAGATTTCCTCACCACTTACGTGTGACTGTGAAGCTTAATAAATGGCAACAGTTTCACAGATGGAGGGCGGTTCGTTTTCAGAATGTGGCTCTCGCCGCGCCGCGCACATTCGTTCCAGAAATTTGCAAGGGCTTCACGCATTGAGGATCACCCATTCTCACAATGTGGCTATCGCTTTAGCACTGCGCACATGCGCTCTAAAAATTTACAAGAGCTTTACGGATTGAGGACCACGCGTTTTCAAAATGTGGCCCTCACCTTGGCGCCGCGCACATTCGTGCTAAAAAATTGCAAGAGTTCCACGAATCGAGGTCGGTTCCTTTTCAAAATGTGGATCTCGCCTTCGCGCCGCGCACTTTCGTCCATAAAATTTACAGGAGTTTCACGGATTCCCACGGTCAACGTACCAGATATGGCGTTTTGGAAGGATTCCGGATTTTGCGGGTGCAACAGTTACGTCGGTTCACGGTGAAATCCAAAAAATGGCGTTCTGGCACGATCCAGGATCGTCAAGACGCAACAGTCAGGTTGATCCGTGGCGTTGGAATCCCGAGAACAATGTGTTGGCATGCCTTCGGGTCTTCAAACGGTTGTCGTCCAACGAGGCAAATCCCTCAATGGAAATGAACCGTTGTAGGGGTATATGATGGAGCTCGGAGGGAGGGTATCCAACATCCTTGATGGTTCTGGGGTGTGCAATGGTCCTGATCCTCCTCCTCCTCCTCCTCCTCCGCCTCCTCCTCCTCCTCCTCATCCTCCTCCTCCTTCTACTCCTCATCCCCCTCCTCCTCCTCTTCCTCCTCCACCTCCTCGTCCTCCTCCTCCTCCTCCTCCGCCTCCGCCTCCGCGTCCGCCTCAGCCTCCTCAGCCTCCTCTCCGCCTCCGCCTCCGCCTCCTCCTCCTCCTCCTCGTCCTCCTCCTCCTGTTCCTCCTCCCTCCTCCCTCCTCCCTCCTCCTCCTCCTCCTCCTCCTCCTCCTCCTCCTCCTCCTCCTCCTCCTACTCCTCCTCGTCCTCCTCCTCCTCCTTCCTCCTTCCTCCTTCCTCCTCCTCCTCCTCCTCCTCCTCCTCCTTAACAGATCCGTTGTTTGCTTTCACAGCGTCCCAAGATGGTCCAAAAGGCCCCAAGAGGGTCGTAAGACGGCCCAAGAGGACCTCAAGACGGCCCAAGAGGTGCCCAAGACGGTCTAAGAGGGCCCCAACACAGCCCCAAGAGGGGCCCAGGAGGGGGAACTCGAAATGTGATTTCGAGCCATCCGCCCCAAGGGGACCCCCAAGACCGCCAGCAGTTCCCGGAAGGCCCAAAGAGGCCCGCAAACGACCCCCGAGTATGCTTCAAAACTGCCTCTGAGAGGCTCCCCAGAGGCTCCCCAAGAGACCCCAACAGGCATCGAAGAGGCCTCCGACGCACAACCGAAGCACGGTGGCGGGTGGGCTGATGCCAGCAGGCCAGTATCGCGCTCCATGTGGTTTCATGAGTCTGGCGCCACGCGTTTCGGTGGCTCGGTGCCCAAAGGCCCTTGCTCCGCGCATAAGATAAGCACATGTAGCGTGTTTCGAAGAGGGCTTCGTTTTCGAGGCATTCGAAAGTCGTTTTCTCGCCCTCGGCGGAGGCCAGCCGAAGGCCCGCAGAAGCTGGCGGGTGTAAATCGAGGGCGATGTGGCCGGCGGAAGCCGGCGGAAGCTCGAAGTAAGCCTCGGCGGCTCAAGGACGTCGCTTGCCCGGGCGCGCGTGGGGTCGCAACTCCCCACCAGGCAGACTCACAGCATTCCCCCAGCCATGGCGTTGCCTGCTGCTGCATGAGGGAGTCGGCTGGGGAGAACGACGCCGACGCCTGCGAGGTGAGCGCTGCTCGGCTGCCCGACCGAGCTGAACCGCAATACCCAGACGTTGACGTCAGGTACGTCTGCGGGAGCCAGGGCGTATGGGGAACAAGCGAGCCCATCGACGTGCACTAAGGCTGGTGGCACTGACAGGAGCCTGCTGGTACAAAGGTCAGCATTGGACTCGCTCCTCGATAGCCGCGCTTGCCACTAGCGGCGTGTGTCATGAACCCCATGTCGACCCCTCGCCCTCGGCCCCGTCGGGCCTTAGAATGTTGCGGAAAAAGCGTTCAAAACAACTACTGAAGATTTGGAGCTACAACACGGAGTCCTTGGTGATCATGGACCGTCTTGGGGAGATCTTACGGTTAGCGCGGGATCGGGATGTGGCAGTGTGCTGTTTTCAGAGTACCCTCATGTCCCTGAACATCGCGTGGCATTGTGAAGGATTTCGCATACTTCCTACACCTAGGACGTCCCCCAAGACCAAAGACGGGTGCCTCATAGCTGTCAACAAGCGGTTCTTCGGGATGGATGAAATACGATGTGTTCATGAGTGGGTCCCTGGACGTCTTCAGGGTGTTCGCTTACGTAGGGCTGGCCGTCGACCCCGAGACCTCTACGTCCTCAACGGGTACTCCTGGACCAACGAGCCCCCCAGAGCGCCCCAGGGCCAGACCACTGAAGTGAATGAAAAACACTGGAAGTCCCAGGATGCGTTTTGGCAACAGTGCGAAGACACCATCTCGAGGATCCCCGGCCGCTCAGCCCTGGTTTGGTGCTTAGATGCCAACGCATCAGTGGCCCCATCACCTCCTAACACAGGCTTCGCAGGCTCTCGGAGGTCCCTCAGCAGGACGAACCAGAATGGCCACAAGTTCCTGTCGGTACTCCAGAACCAAGGATTGGCAGCCCTCAACACTTTCGGCAAGGCCTCTCGCTTCAACTCCACGTGGGTCCACACGGACGGGGTGAGCTGGTCAACGATTGACTACGTGTGCGTGCGTCTTCAGGGAGGCTACGGCCGCGCGAGCCGGCCGCTCATTGACCTCCCAGTGAGCTTGGGAGGCTACCGGGATCATCGACCTGTGGAGGCAACGATATATGCTGGACTACGGTGCAAGCTACAACGCCCTCCTTCAGAGCTTCGCTGGAATAGGGACCTCATCATGACAGACCTCAAGGACCTGCAGAGGGCCCAGCAGCAGGAGAGCTCCACGATCCCCGAACGGGTCTCGCAGTTGTGTGGCACAGTAGATCGGCATCTTCGTGAGCGACGTCTTCGGGGAGAGTGGCAACATGTGTGTGGTCCTGGCCAGGCGTATGGCACGACGTCTGAGTACTTCGATGCCCTCGAGGGCGCTATCGTTGACGCAGCGGTGGACATCTATACCACGCCGCCCACCAAGCAGGCGGCCCCCGCCTTTCCTGATGAGACGTGGGAGCTTATTGCTAAGAAGCAGCTCTACCAACGCATGCTCGCCAGGGCTGTCCTGGGGAGTTGGCTACACAAGACACTGACGAGCCAGTACAAGCACTTTATGCGGTTGGCGAAGAAAGCAGTCCGAGCCTTTCGCAGACAACGAACAGCAGAGCTAGTCGACCAAGCTGAGCAGGCGGACCATCACAACGACATCAGGAAGGGCTATGCTATTATTAGACGTATCGCTCCGAAGCCCACGGCTCCATCTATGACGGTCCACAATCCTGCTACTGGGACGGTATGCTTTGACCACGAGGAGGATATGGAAGTACGAGCCCGAGCCCTGTGTACCATTTTTCAGGCGGAAGATGTCACGGAGTCTGCGCCGCAGCGGCCTCCACGCCACGGCATGGGCGTATTGGACGACCCCTCGGAGGCCATCACCGTCGAGAACACGACTGAAGCAGTCAAAAAATTACCCAACCATAAGGCGGCCCCCGTTTTGAAGTGGAGCGATCCTGGGAGTGCGTTGTCACCGATGCCGAGACCACAATCAGACGGGGCGGTAGCAGAAATATGGAAGCTTTGCCTCGACTACGTCGCTGAGCCCTTGACCCAAGTTTTCCAGGCTTGCCACCAATTGAAGCAGGTTGCCCAGAGATTCAAAGATGGAGAAACGGTATCGCTTCGCAAACCCAAAGGCGACGGTCGTAACGCTCAGGATCATTATCGAACGATCAATTTGATTAACCACATGGGGAAAGCATTCATTAATGTAGCATGCATGGGCGATTTACGTAAGTGCGCTGGCCGACTATCTACTACCCAATTTGGTGCATTACCACAGCGATCAACACGAGACGCAGTGGTTATCGTGGATGAGATTATTCGTCGTTTCAGGGTGTGCCGAAGTCGCACCAACCTCCCTGCGCTGATCTTGGTCGCGGCTCTTGTCGACTTGGAAAAAGCATTCGATTTGCTACCCAGGGACAAGGTCTGGGAATCGCTGGACAGGCTGGCCGTTTCGAAGGGCGTCCGATTAACACTTGAGGCCCTACATGACGGGACACGTTACATATTGCGAGATGTAAAAACAAACAGGCCGTGCAGAACACTCCTGATCCGTCGTGGGGTTCGTCAGGGAAGTGTCGAAGGGCCGCTCCTCTTCATTGCCATCTATGATTTCATTACCCAGGAGATTGCTTCCCAGCAGGTCGTTCAGGGCTTCGAGGGGGTCACCGTGATTTCAGACCCCAACTTCGAAAGGTACAGGGGCAGGGACATCTTAGAATTAGAGGTGAATGCCGAGTTAGACGTGTCTCAGGTCAAGTTCGTCGACGATCTCATAGGTCTGGCCGTTTTTGAGAGTTATGATCGGATTGCCGAGTATCTCCAGTTCCTGTTCCGAATGATCAACGAGGGGGGCATGAAGATGAATGTACCGAAACTCGAGCTCATGATGATGTCTTCGGGAACGGGGTGCAAGAAAATCCGAAGGGAAATCAA